TAAATAAAAAGGTTTTGTACATCAAAAGGAATCACCACAGAGTAAAATGAAAACCTACAAACTGGAAAAAAAAAAGGGCTTTATGGTCATAAAGAGAAAGCACAAGCTCAGCGGTAACAGAAGAGTTCTGTACCTCGACTTCAGCAATGGTTACTCGTCTCCACACATAGGATTAAACTCATGCACACACGCACGCACACAAAATCCAAATAAACTCTGAACTTCACTGATGTAAGCTTCCTGGTTTTGATAACTGCGTTAGTTACACAAGACATTTACCCTGGGGGAACTGGATGAAGAGTACACCTTCTCTTTATAAGACCACTTTCAAACAAAAATTTTTAAATCAAAAAAAGAAACTAATTTTTTTTTTTTGGGGGGGGGTGGAACCAGGAATTGAGCTCAGGCCCTTGCGCTTGCCAGGAAAGCACTTATTCTACTGAGCCATCTCCCCAGCCCCTAAAATATTTTTGTTACATGTAACTTCGGTATTTTGATAGGACATTTCCCTACAACCACTTCACAGTAAAGCTTACTATCGCACTGGCAGACACTGGGCTCATAAGTCACTTCTACTGTTTCACTACCACAGTGCTGATCCACTCAGCGTACACAACCAATTTCACTCCAATGACCTTTTTCTCTATGTTATACGAGGATTAAATGTGTACTCAAATATTTTGTGCATATGTCACAATTTACAGCGATACTACTATAAATTGTAATAGGTAACTAAAATAAAATGTTTAAGCCAGGTATGGTGGCATATCCCTGAATCCCAGCACTCAGAAGGCTGAGGCAGGAGGATCACTGTGAGTTCCAGGCTAACCTGGACTACACAGAGATCCTGTCTCAAAAAAAGAAAAAAAAAGTTTAACGATTATAATATTCTTTTTCTAGTTTAAGAAACCGGACAGGTTTTCTAAATTGAATTCAAGGACTACTACTGATGAAAAAACAAAGTTAGATGCAAAAGCTAGTAGCAACAATGAAACAGTACAGGAAAAGTATCAGGTTGAACATGACGGTATGTATCTGCAGTCCCAGTAACTTAGAAGGCTGAGACAGGAGTTACCTGGACAACTAGCAAGACTGTCTCAAAATTAAAAATAAAAATCGGTTGGAGATGTAACTCAGCAGTACAGTGCTTATGGAACAAGGCCCCAGGTTGAACACCAGGAGAAAAGTTAGAAGAAATTATCATAAATATCACAATGCATGAGAGCTGCAGGATGCTACAACAGAGCCAAAACAAAGGAACTGCTTGTTTGTTATATACAAGAAGAATTTTAAAGACAATAAATGGACATTATTAAGAAGTATTTTCAAAAAAATAAAATAAAATAAAAATTAAAAAAAAAAGTATTTTCAGGAAATACAATGGAAATCTGGTATGCTTACTTTTCAAAAAAAAATTATGAAAATTAACTGAAATTAAAGGCCTACAAAAATGGGATTTTAACAGGATCTGACGTCACTTTGGCCAGCTATGAAATAACTATATTCTTGCCCCAAAAAAGAAAAATTTTTCATGATGACAAAGCCAAGCCTACACAGACTACTAAATGATGTTCTAGAGAGGGGGCAAATTGATCACAGCCCCATGAATGAGAATGGAACGAACCCACAAAATAGGGCAAACAGAGGAGAATAAGAGGTATACAGTAGTAGTCTTT